AGTCCAATGTTCCACTCATGGAATATATTTGAAGATATTTTTTAAATATCAGACTAGCATTAATTGCATTTTAACATGGTGTATAAGTACATATGGTATTTTAATCTTTTTCGTTTATATTGCCGATAAAATAATCAAAATTAAATCTCGTCTGATATAAAAAAAAATATCTTAAAATATGTTCCATTAATGGGGCAATGAGCACTGAAAGGTAGCACAATATTTGACATTTAAAAAATGTTGAACAGAACTTGTTTAAAAAATATTTATTTTCGACGAAAAGTGATTTTACATGATTTTATGATAACATCTTTAATTAACCCATTGACTTGGGATTTGTTTTTTTTTATTAGGATGCCATTTACGAGTTATCTCGTACCGAATACAAGTTATCTCGTACCGACTACGAGTAATCTCGTGCCGACTATGAGTTATCGCGTACCGACTACGAGATTTTTGTCTTCTCAATCAGTGAAATTAATAACAATTAGCCCAAATTAGTCCTATTAAAGATCTAGGCCGGTTGTTATTAATTTCACTGTTTAAGAAAATAAAAATCAGGGATAGCAACACAAATACGTGCACCCACTAAAAATAACGTTTATAATAATACGAAATAATGTCGGATGAAAAGGTCCATTAAAAAATTACATCTCTTTTAATGCTAGACCTGCATTTTTTTCTACTGGGCTAATATCTGAAGGGGCTGAGGGTAATTCCGTTAATTAGGTATCTTTGAAACTGTTTTTGAAAAAGCGGACAACAGTCAGGATTGTAGAATGTGAAGAGGCATTTTTGATTATGATCTGTAACAACTTACAACAATTCTCTGCATATATTCAACTTTGAAGGTACTTATAATTTTACTGTTTGAAACATTATTCCGTCTTCACTTAATGTCTTCTAATTTATGTTGGCTGACGATTTTCATGAAGGACATCAAGTATATTCAATGTATCTATCCATTTGTAGGGATATGAAGGGCGATTATCTCCCTTTGATTGAAACGAAGTCACGAGGGTCACATGACGACTGGTGAGTGACTTAATTTCATCGAGTGACAAACACCAGTTGCTATTTATCACGCTTGGAAGTAAGACGTGTCTGCTAACGCCAGTTGCTGGGTAGACCGCGGAGAAAGCGGTAAGGTGAACAGAGGAATCCATGTGGTCTCACCAGCAATATAAAGGACACAACCAACGTGGCCGTTTTTCTTTGGCATATATTACAAGTAAGACCCTCTCGCTTTTCGCTCACTTTCACATTGCTTTTTGTATGCATATGTTATAATTTCTCAAATTAGTGATAAGTATCTATATATCGGTACAAAAAATCTCTTTGGAAACATTCCTTTCTTTCAGTTATTCTGTTCCATCCGTGTATTAAGTTATCACAGATATAATGATACCTATAATGGGGAAATGAAATTGGAAATATTCTTTCTTGCCTAACACCTCCGTTTCTAAAATATTCTGTCGAGAAATTTTTTAAAATGTACCTCTTCAGCCAACTTAGATACTTTTCATCGTAATGTCTACTTAAAAGTGATATTATGGTTGTTACCACGTAAAAGAATACTGAGCTGTTATGTGATATCTGTCCTTCTTTACGGTAGCGAATGTTGGACGATTTCCTCAAAGATGAAACTTGAGGTGACGGAGATGTGGTTCTACAGAAGGATGCTAAGGATATCATGGACCGAGCGTGTGAACAACGATGAGGTCTTAGAGAGGGTGCAAACAAGGAGGAGGCTTATACTTAAGATAAGGAAGAGGCAGCTGAAGTTTCTGGGGTATATAATGAGGAATGAGGGCCAAGAGAATCTGATACGTGTCGAATAGAGGAAAAAAGAGACAGGAGAAAACAACGCGTGACATATCTAGCGAGCTTAAGCAAGTGGTTGACAGAACGTGGTCTGGGGGAGGAAGCAGAGGGAAGGAACTTGTTGAGAGGTGCAAGAGATAAAGGGAGGTGGAGAGCCATGATCACCTACAACCTGAAAGTTTCCTTTGATCATTTTATGATCTTGGTAAACATTTTCACAATTTCTAATTTTGCTTTCATATCCCTCAATAACTTTATGACATATTTTTTCAATTTTGAGGTCATATCGTTTTTTACGATCCATCGTAATTTTTATATATCTAAAATTAAAAATTAGTAACTATAGAAATTAAAATAAAAAATTAGTAACTATAGAACTATACATGGGTTTAACTAAGCAATTTAAGATTTTGACCATAAGAATTTTTGCGTAAAAAGTAATACTTATTTTTTATCATTTTACTCCAAGCAAGTCGGTAATGTCACTAGTATGCAGGGGGCTACAGGGGATGAAAGTGAAAGAGAAGACTAGGTATAGGGAGGATTTATGAGAGGAAAAAAGATGAACGGGATTGAAGAGGACAGAAAATGGCGATTGACGTTGCATTTAAGTTTTTGAAGAATTTAGTTATCAGTGAAGAAAGAAAACGGAAGAGAGTTTCACAGGTGGGCAGTGCGTGAAAAGAAATTGTTAGATTAGAGGTGGCGGTTCCATTTAGCTATTTCAACAGTAAACTGGTGGGACCTAGATGCCAATCTAGTAGAACGCTTAAATTCAGGTAATCGGGGCACCAAAAAAAAAAAAAAACTCAGAGAAGTTGACATGAAAATATTACCAGAAAAGACAGAGGGTACCCACGTCACTTCAATGAGAAAGTGACTAAGGTCAAGATCTCTGGTCAAGATTGATTACATTACAAATCCTTTGGATTTTGACCAGATATGGCAACAAGTATTAAATGCATGGACGGATGGTAGATTTGTTAATGTGCAGGATGAATTCTGACGATAAACAGTTTCTGCTACCAACTTTTCCTTGCAGTGGATTGATTTGATGTAGTCATTGCACTTCATGTCAGTAGAAACGTGAAGCCAAGAAGACGTAGTGTGTTGCTCTTCTGGAGTCTAGCGTCAGCCATGTTGATGACAGGCAGAAAATGTTTTCTGTGGTGGTTAAATGAAAGCAGTTTTGCTCTAGAGGCGTTAAAAGTTATAAGCCAGTTACTTAAATGGTTGCTTAAAGGTTGGATCTAACATGTAGAAAAAAGGCATTTCAATTGAACTAAATTAGTAAAATGGTTGAATTCTTAAATGCATAATAAAATTACGTATTTAATAACATTTTTGTTTAATTTTCCGTTTATCTTTTTTCTTATCTTTTCTTTTTTTAGTTGCTTAAGTCAAATTGATGTCAGTAGTGGAGTTACTTAAGATTTAATGAAATTAGAGTTTTCTTCTTCTATGCACCGTGTCCATTCAGGACGTGAACGATCATGACTCTCCACAACTTTCTGCCCTTTGTAACTTTTAGTAAGTTTTATCTTTTCACCATCACTCCCAGCACCTGTTCTGTCATCCATTTACACAAGCTCGCTAGTTAGGTTACATGCTATTCTCTTCTGTCCCTTTTGCCTTCAATATATCCTGTGAGTGTCAAATTCTCTAAGCCCTCTTTCCTCATTGTGTGACCTGTCGCTTTTGATTCAAAGTACAAGGGTTCTTTTTGTTTCCATCTTCCTTAAAACGTCCTGTTCATGGTATCTTCAACATCTTTCTGTAGAATAGTATATTTTATTTTTGAAAGATTGTTTAATAAAGAGAATTACATTGTGATAAAAGATGGCTAAAATGGCGCTAAAATCAGCGATTTTTAGTGATTAAAAAAACTTCCAGTCAATTTAAATCATTTTTGAAATGCAGCAAAGTATTTTGTTAAATGGGAATATTAAATTTAATCTTTAGCAGCCATTAACGAAATCATCAAAAGAGGTTTGGATGCAGCTGGGTTGCCTTCCCAAATCGAACCCGTAGGCTTCGACCGCAGTAATGGAAAGCGGCCGGATGGCATTACCATTTTCCTTTTTAAAATGGGGAAGTCGTTGATTTGGGATGCGACCTGTGCGGATATATTTTCGGTTGGTAATTTGATCAGTTCCGCGGTTGAGCCAGGATCCGTCGCCCGGGACGCAGAGATGAAAAAAAATATTCTTCTCTTGTTGATAGATTTTTTTTACTCCTGTGGCAGTGGAGACTTCAGGGGTTATTGACCCTTGTTCGATGGCGTTCCTTCGTAGGATTGGCGCGATTGCGTCTCGATTAAGGGACGAGCCTTGCGAAACGGAGTGGCTCTTGCAGCGTGTCTCACTGGCGATGGTTCGAGGTAATGCTTTCTCCATCATTGCGGCTGGCAGAGGATAGAAAAAAATTGTTTATAGTTACGTTGTTCTGGAATTGTCATCAGTGGTCAACTGAACTTGTTTTATCTTTAGTTTGAAATTTAAACTAAAATAAATGCTTCAAGAAAAACTTTTCATTTTTAAAAATTTGTTTTAAACATTTGGCATTGCGTTTCTGTGGAGGCATCTCGTTAAAATCAATTTTATTGTGGAAACATTTACTTGCGTAGTACTGTCCCTTGTTTCCATCCGTCTTTCTCCTGTTTACGTGATTTGTAGTTAAAGCTGAATATTTTTTCTCTTTATTTTACTTCTTCACCCGTCTTTCATTTTGCCTACTCTGTTTCATGCTGGGTCAAAAGTTAATCGTTTGTATTTGCCAAAAAACTATTTTTCTTTAACCTGACCATCTCTAACAGTTAACACTAATTTGCACTGGATCAAATGGATTTTATCCTTAAACGATAAATCATTAATCTGAGATAACATCTATTTCGCTTTTCAGATGGTTGATTTGTTTTCTATGGCTTATCAACACTTTTCAGGTTATTTAAAGCCAGAGAATATTTTGAGAGTTTAAGAATTTCTTTTTTTTGAGGTAATAACGGTGTAGTGATACAACTCATACTAATTAACCCATAGTTGGGGAGATTCATATCTTTTCCAAATGTATTTGTGATAAAGTGAATATAAGGAACCCAACGGGAATTGGAACACAGCTCTCCGATTAAGAACTCCGAGCCATTATTCATTATATCACCCGCACATCCAAGCTTATAGTAGCTAGTATTCTCAAGCGGTCACCCACCAAAGTACTGTCCAAGCTCGACGTTGCTTAACTTCAGTGATCGTACGGGAACCGGTGTTTCAGCGTGATGTGGCCGTAAGACCTCGTTTTTCGGTTTTGTACAAGTTGAAAAGTTATCAGCCTAACAAAGATGGGGTTTTAAAAAATCTGATGTTTAGTCAGATTTTTGGAAGTGGGTCGGGCTGAGAACTTTTCAGAAACGCCTCGTTTTATCAGCAGAAGCGATACTCCGTAATTTACTGAAAGCAATTTAAGAATTCATTATTTCTAATGATTTTTTTTTAAAAAAGTATTTAACTTAATTTCATTTCTAAGTTTACTTTTAATTAATTTATATTTTCGTTGTGACTTCTATTCTGTATCGGATGCTAATCTGAAAGATGCCATTAGAAGGAAGAAAAAACGGGGGACAATAATTGCTTTTTCCGGTATGAAATGAAAAACGAAAAATTCTAAATGTTTTTCCTGTGTCATTTAAAGAAGTAAACTGAAAAGAACGCCGAAGTCAAATGTGGCCTCTGGGAAGATACAGGTCTTCTGAAGTTATATTTTAATTATTTTTGTAATTATACGATCTTAATCAAACCCAAATGCCCAGAATTAAGGCCTGACCTTAATTTAAAAAAAGAACCTGCCTAATTGCCAATTTCTATTTGCTTAATCAGTAAACTTGTCAGCTAATAGCTGATCATTAACAGTGCAAGCGAAATACTATGAAGACGGCGAGAAAAATTGTCAAAGTTCATCTGAAAATCCTTAACAGTTATCACGTAATGTCTTCACAATTTCATTTTAAAATGATAACTAAATAAAGTAAAGGAGAGAGACAATTTTATTCTTCATTATTATTATTATTATTATTATTATTATTATTATTATTATTATTTTCTTTGATTTCTGGCGTTTACACATTTCTTTCCGGGTCCCGCTCAGGGACCTAAGGTTAGAAATGGCGTCATGACACTTTCCACTGACAAAAAGAAAAAAAAAAAAAATTAAATTACATAGATAAAGCCCTTCGTAAGGTGTGGGCTGTACTTGTCAGATCAATTTTTTGTATCTCCTTGAGGCATGGACTTCCAGGAATCCCTTCAATTAGTCTACTGCAATCTTTTCCAACCAGTCCTAGGGCTCCAACTACAACAGGGATTGTTGATGTTCCCATATGTAACATTTTCGAGATTTCTATTTCTAGGTCCTTGTACTTTGACAACTTTTTGAATATCTTTAAAGATACATTGCAGTCAGCAGGGACTGCCATATCAATAAGGAGGCATCGTTATTATTATTATTATTATTTCTTTTATAAACACTGCTAATAATACTACTACCAAGAGTATTAGGTTGGAACAAAATAAATCGTAGTTTTGTGCTAGATGAGTATGATCATTTTTTTCTAGCATTGTTTCTTTTTGTATATCATTTTAAAGCCGTGTCTCCTATTTCACGTGTTGCCTGAAATTTTTGATTTTCATATGTGTTCTATGGAAAAAGGTTTATTCTTCCTTTTACATTTCCCCGCTCGCATAAAGTTTAGGTAGCATGGCGAAGAGCTTACGAACAGTTGCCAAGAAAGTATTTATAAAAAAAAAAGACACAAGGAGGCAACTTTACGGCAGTGGAAAAATAACTGAAGCCGAGACACTAGATTAGGACCAATAATATTACTGATTCTTCTTTGGATTCTATCAAAGATCTCTAGATATATGACGGGGACACAAGATCATATGTGTCAGCAACATTCTAAGCATGGACGAATGGTAGACTTATAGATATGTAAGATAGATTCAGGAGAGAAAAATTATCACGCACAACATAGTGAGCCAAATTTCTTAGCAGCTAATCTAACAATGGATTCAATATTTTCTTTCCATTTAATGTCAGCCGAGAAGGCACAACGAGTCGCACACCTAGAGGTTAATATCAGCTATGCTGATGGAAGCTAGAAAGTGGTCTCTCAGATAATTAATAGAGGGCAGTTTCTTTGCACTATTTACATTGTTCGGAGTGTTGTCCTCATCTTTACTGTCATATTCACGACGTTTCGATCGTTGTACGCTCCAGCCTTCTTCCGATGATACACATAACTCAGTGGATAAAAGCGTTAACTTGACCCGAAGAGTTGTTGGTTCAATACCTGACCACAGCAGAGAGTTGAGTTACTAAAGAGAAATAACTGAAACTGAGATTTTCATAAACGACAGAGCACATGGAACTGGAAAAATCTACCCCCGTGGACTAAATAAAGGGTTCCGTTCGAAATTCCAACGTATATCACCTGAAGAAGGCCAGAGCGTACAACGGCCGAAATGTCGTGAATATGACAATAAAGATATGAAAATAAAGATATGACAATAAAGATGAGGACAACTGTCCAAAGAATGTAAATAGTGTAAATAGTTACAATACCTCATTTCAGAAATATAGACAGAGACAGTATTTTAGTTTTTGAGGCGTTAAAATGAACAAATCATCTTTTGCATCCAGTTAACAATAGGCTGAAGTTCTTATTTATTTATGGCAGATACTTATACGTCTAAGTCCTGATGGAGTTGTGCTATGTGTTGGAAGTATGTTCTTAAGATTGTGGAGGGATATTTTCATAAAACATATGCCCTGCACGTACATTTTCGTCTTCTAAATTCTGTATGCTGACTTTTTTTCATAAAGAGCTCGAAATCACCTTTGCAGGCATTTTACATTTGTTTGTCCCAGCGCTCCTAGAATAACAGGTGTTGTTGTTATTGTTATGCACTTGTTCGATCTAAAATGTTTCTTTGTTTGTTTTTCTATAATCAAACAAAAGCGTTGTGAAATATTACCATCATTGTGACCGTCATCATCATCATCATCATCATCATCCACAGCAAACGAAGCATCAGTATTCGCAGGTTGATCTGTTGAAGGCCAATCCATCTGACGCTCAAATACTTATGCCCTATGGGTGAACATTGATCCCTGTCATCATCTTTTATGGGCTGTATGCTTTCAGGAAGTGGGCGATCATAGCTCTCCACAACTTCGTCCCTTGCAGCTCTAAGCTACGTTTGACTCTTTATTATTCTTTAGAACTGCAATCCATTCACCCCACCCCCAAATACTCATTAGGTAAGCTACTTGCAGTTTCCCAATTTTCTTAGCCGTCCTGCCGCATAATGTATCCCAGAAATTTCAGCTGTTACTTTCTGATTTTAAGTATGAGTATATTTTCTGGTTTCCATTTTTTTTAGAAATTTCTCATTACTCACATGTTCTGTCCATGGTATTCTCAGCATCCTTCTGTAGAACCACATCCCTGCCACTTCGAGTCTCTTATTCATCTGTAACAAAAGTGACCAGCATTTACTGTATACAGGACACTAGATATGGCATAGTAGTTCAGCACTTACCTTTTATTTGTTTCTAACGAAAGTTATGGAAGTTTATGGAAGGCCTCTTTTCCTAACCCGATGCGCCTTCGGAGCTCGATGTCACACTGTCTGTCGTCTGTTACTACACTACCCACATGGCTCACATGGGTTTTGGCTTTTAGCGTGGATTTTCAATTAGTGTAACGGTTATCGATGTATAAAATGGAGCCACCTAACCGGATCCAATCTCTCCATTGCGTTCATTTTACACGGATGCCATTAGAAAAACATGAATAGAACTCTTTTCCCACTTTATCTATGGGTTAAACAGCAGCGTAGATTGGGATCTTGAGTGGCAGTTAATCTAAGAGAACAACTTTTAATCCAAAACCATAGAGAATGCGAATAGAATGAGAATTTTACTATGTTTCGCAAGAAGTCACGACAATTCATAGATAATGAAGAAACAGAATCTGTAGAGAGCCATGACCGTCTACATCTTGAAGAGATGTGGCACAAAAAATCTTACATCGGAAACGCCTTTAATTTCAGAGTTCTTTTTTTTTGTTATTTTTCATGTTGCATTTTCTAACTTACAGTATTCTCGACTTTCTTGAAAGTCTCTCAGTATTCTCGTTGTCTCTGACAGTTCTGTATTTTGATTGGTCTTATTTTATTTTTTAGTATTTTTTTCTTGCTTTCCTGTGGAAAATTTCAAAAGAGTCAACCTCAATGCTTGACTGTGGATACAACTACAAAATTTAAAAAATAAGCAATTCGTTAATAAACAGCTGTGTTCAAATTCAACTAAACCTTAAGCAGTTCCACTATTGACGTCAGTATGACTTAAGCAATAAAAAGAAGGAAAATTTAACAAAAAGAGTTACTAAATAAGTTATTTATAACTGTATTCAAGAATTATAGCAACTTTAGTATAATTCCATTGGAATGTCTTTATTTTCTATTACTAATTCTTGTGCTGAATTTAAGCAACCTGTGTAGTTGGTAAAATCCTTATAAAATCTTTCTGGCCGATCATTGCTCTCCACAAGATAATTTCACAGATAATAAAGAAACAGAAGTCAAAACTGCACAGTATGAACTCATTTATTCACAACTGTTCATAATTGTTATGGCGACCTATCTACATTAGAATGAACATAGAATCTCCCTCCTCCATAAATACTAATCTGCGAGACTTCCTAAGGAGGCAGTCGAGACGCATTGTAACCTGACAGTTCGGACCGACACTTCTCTCTGCTGACTAATAACACTCTTATTTTGTATATATGTTCTGTTATTTCAATACACTTGTTCAACCTACCTTCTTCTTTTCGTGTCTTTCTTTCTGGCTCCTAACAGACCGCAACAATGATATGAACCCATCTCTTCTCCTCTTCAGCTTGTCTTGTGGATTTAAAGCGTTGGTTAGTGAATACGAAGACATCGTAATTGGAACTTCAATTCATTGTTTGGGTTAGTATAGACTTAGGCTCAGCGGAAATCGAGAAAACAATAACTAATCACTACTAAATAAGCACAAGACAATATATTCCTTGACATGAACAGCAGAACGAGAATAATCAGACCACATAGGTTGCTAGGATTGAGAGACCACCCCACCCTCCATAGAAATCCATAGAGTACAACGCCCGAAACGTGATAATAACAAAAAAAATGAGAGACTCTATGAATAATGATAACTCCTTCTCCCACAAAGTTAGAAAGA